AAATAGAACAAGTGCTCCCTAGGGAGAAACACTAGGATAAATAAATCCTCTATCAACCAATTCCTAAAGTTAAACCTTTAACTCCACAAGTTCCTTTGGTGTCATTCTATACGGAGCTTTATATATCAGGGCCGTACTCAAAAATACATCAATATAGAACTCAACATCTCTATCTGGAGGCAAACCAACTAACTCCTCAGGAAATACATCCGAAAAGTATCGTACTACCGGGATATCAAAAATATAACTCGCATATATATTCATATCTCATACTAAAGTTAGAAATACTATACAACCCTTCTTCCATAATTTATTTACATCTAAAGAAGAAATTAGGCAGGATAAAACACCTCTTAATCCTTGAAATACATAACTTTCACCATCCATAAATAATGTAATTTGCTTATTCAGACAATCAATTTGAGCCCCATACATACTCAGTCAATTCATACGTAAAATAATATCATACAAAGAAATCAGTAACAAAATTAAATAAGACTTCCACTTCTTACCAAAAATTTTAATCTCACATAAACAAAACTTCCTGGCTATCATATTATCTCCAGCTAGCAAAATAACAGAAAGTGAAATAGGTAACGTAATTGAAGCCTGTTATAATGCATCAAAGAAACGTTCAGAAATAAACGAATGACTAACTCTAGAATAAAAAAAAATATAATATGGATGTTCAGAAATGTAAACCATACTTGTCACCACATCCGGAGCATCTCGAGCCTCTTGCTGATTCAAACTATACACACGTGGCTGAACTGGAGTCAGAGCTACAGAACTACAAGGCTCTTTCTGATTACCACTGAGTGGTCTCCTTGTTACTGAATCCAAACCACCAGCTCTACTAGGGGATCATTCAAAAATAGTACATGGAAGAATTTCTCTCGGCCTCTCTGCTGGCATGATAAAGCTCTTTGATCTAGACTCGGATCGTTGGTCAAATCCGGCTTATAAGTATTTTGCTATCCGATGTCCTGTCTGACCACATCTGAAACACTGACCAGTCAACCTGTAACATTGGCCAAAATGTCATCGTCCATAATTTTGGCACACAAGTACCCCACTAACAGAACCAGAACTGCTACACTGCCACTACCAAAAGCTGCTGCAGATATTGACTGTCCACTCCTCTTAGAATCTCCAGTTACAAATCTATTCTTCTTTCCAGAAAAACTGCTACCAAATGTATCACTACTAAACCTCTTTCTACTAGAAGTCCACCACAGCTAAGTATCCATCAGATCATTCTCTATTAGTCAAGCTCTTTCCATAAGCTCAGAAAAATCTGAAATATGAAATGGTACCATGGGTTTCCTTAAACTATCTCATAATCCCCTTAGAAATCTAAAACACTTCTCCACAGAAGTACTCACGAGCTGTGAAGCATATCTTGCCAAAATAGTAAACTTTATCTCATACTACATAACTATCTTGCTCCCCTAAATCAATCTAAAAAAAGTCTCCTGCAATTGTTATCTTGCAGAAGGGGGTATAAACCAATATATGAACACTTCATAAAATTCTTCCTAAGAAATCAAAGAGTTCAGTTTACCTTGAAATTTCTCCTCCTGCTTGCCCATCCACCAGCGCTCTGCTTCACCGTCCAACAGAAAAAACTGCTAATGGTACCTTTCTATCATGAGGATATTGTATACCATTAAATGTCTTTTCCAATCTCCTCAACCAATCCTCAGCTACTCTGGGATCAATAGTGCCCTCAAATCTCAGAGGCTTGAAATGCAAAAACATTTATAAATGTCTATCTATCTCTTCAGATCTGATAACAAAAACTCTATTATGTGCATCACCCATCATTTGGGTTATTAACATAGCAAACTGGAAAACTATATCTGAACCAACTACTCGAGCAGAACTATTCATAAGAGCTGCCTAATTAACACTTTATCCCTCAGTCATATCTGGATTTGGCAGATTCATAATCACACAGAATATACAACTATGAACATAAATAAAAAATAATAAAAACCTAGACAGACCCAAAAGTACCCCACCAGACTTATAGATCAATTCCTATAGCTCTGTCTTACGATTCAATTCCAAAACAATTACTCTGATACCACTAATTATCACGACCCAACCCAACGAGGATGTATCCTATCGTGTTGAGTTATGACGGGCGAACCCCAGGATCTAGTTTTTTAATTTACTTTTCAGACTTTCTTCCAATATATATTAAATAATACAGAACCATAGAGGTACTATAAACATTCAAAAACAAAAGAACTCATCCAAAAATATTTTTTTCATTTATCAAAATAATCATATACATTACAGTGCATGGCTACAAACAGAAAGTACAGAATATAACAGAAAAATAGCCATGACTGTATAAAAATGAAAAGTACAAAAATACCTATAACTTCAAATCAGATATTGAACGGCTAGTCCAAAACTTCCTTCCTTTTTCCAGAACCTGAAAACCATGAAGATAACCATAGTGAGCTAACAGCTTAGCAAGATCACACTAGCCGATCTAAATTCTCCGATACTCTCATTCAAAATACTTCACGTAAACTTTAAAAATAGTTCATTTCAAATCAGATAATCACTGAAGTAAAATCTCAAAATAGAAAACATAGCGAATCGTTCTTTAATTGAAATAGACTTCCAGAATTCATATAACCGTAAAGAATTTTAGAGAATCAAACAGAATTAAAATATTCATACAAAAATCATATAATTCAGATAACACAATTCATATAACAGACATCCGTACAAAACATATGAATCAATTTAATGGATACAGAAGAACTGAATTGAATTTGTATCATAGAATCATATCATAGAATCGTACAAATCACATTTTCAAATCAGATTTCAAATCACATATCAGATCACATATCCCTGAACCAGACAAAATCGCAAAGGATTATGGCCCCTTATAGGCCCCTTCCCTAACATAGACATAATTTCAAAGAATTCTAGCCCCTTATGCATCCCTTTGTACTTTCAACATCAGAACATATCAGATATACAGAATAATCAGATAATATTTCATTTTCATTTTCCCAGACATAGACAGAATTTCAAAGGATTTTGGCGCATTATGCCTATCATCAATTAAAATATTCATGTCCATTTTGTTGTTTCAATTGGTCCTTTTGGCCATTAAATGGAGAGAGAGAGAGAGAGAGAGAGAGAGAGAGAGAGAGAGAGAGAGAGAGAGAGAGAGAGAGAAGGATTTTGATAGAGAAAGAAGGAAATTTAAGATGTTTCAAGTCATTTTTAACTATTGGCCCAATTCTTAAAGTTGTTCGGTTTAAGATAGATCACATTATGCGTATTTTAGTTTTAAAAAATATGAATATTTTTCAAATTTTTTAATTAAATTTGTATTTATGTCACTAAAAAAAATTGTACTGATAAAATTTTCACTATATAACCTTTTATATATTACAAATATTATGATTTTTGAATATTTTACATTTTATATTTTGAAATTTATGCACTTTTAATTGAATAAACCTCTAAAAAAATATTGTTGTAGTATGATTAAATTACTAAAATGATATATTACATAATGTCCTAATGATTTAGTTATGTTTTGAAATTATGATTTTTTGCTCAAATTTTTTGTTGCCTATCATTATAAAAACTTGTGATTCTTAAATAGACTCAATTATGCTTTAATTACTTCAATTTGATGAAATATATATTTATGTGGTTGAATTATGTGATATTAAATAATTTTGATATGAAATCAATTTGTTGGGAATAATAAAAAGCCCGAACCATTTGAGATTCTAACAAAAATCGAGAATCTGAATATGAAACTCTCTAAAATTCTATATGTTAAGTGTTAAAAGGGACCAAAATACTTTAAGATTCTTTTTGAGACCAAAGAAATCAATTGGTAATCATAAGTGGTCATAATCTTTTATGGTTAGGTCAAGACAAGATAAATCTATTATATTTTATTTTATGAATTAAAGTGCATACAAAATTTAATTTATTTAATTTTTCAATATTATTATTTAAATATTTAGATAACTACCATACTAGTATAATTTGCTCAGCATAATGATTATTATATTACATTTAAATATTCAAAAAATGTTAATAAAATAAAATTTTGAAAATTTAGGTCAATATTTATAGTCAACTGGGCTGTTTTAACTCACTATAATTTTACATTCTATTTTCATGTTCAGAAAAGGGAAAGAAGCCTATTGATTAGCAGTTTTAAAAGTTAAATTTGAGTATATAAGGACTTTTTATTTTTGCATAATCATAACTAATTTTATTACTGTTTTATAATTTTATTTACAACCATGCATTGTGATTGTATATATACTTTGATGATGAATGACAAAAAAAATTCTAGTTAATTTTACTTTCAATACTGGATGTTATTGGCTGCTGTGTATAATGCTATTTTAAAAGTTTTAACTGAGAGATAAAATCTGAAAATTTTATTAAACTAAATCTTAAAATTCATTTGTTACAGCTCAACATGACATAACATATCTCATCAATGAGTTATCGAATTATATTGTGATTAGACTATCATGGATGATTCGTTGTCTCGTTGTTCATGCAATTCTAGCTGTCTGTCATCACCTCGTATAAAGGCAAAGTTGGCATTACATAGTAAAATTGATCCTAATGAATTCATGATACCCTCATGAAAAACGTGTCATCGCCAATTTGTATTTAAGAAAAAAAAAACAAAGTTTACGTTAGTTCGAATTTGATAAGTTGATGATTACCTGAAAAAATATAAGGAAAAATGAAAATACTTTAAAAATAAGAATTATGTAAGGACCCACTATAGTATTAATAGCCTTAAACATTATCATACCTTCTAAAGTAACCGATAATAAATCACTGATGATATGTTATGTTTTCTACAGTGCAACAAATTCTGATATATAAAAAAATAAAACTAAAAAAATAAAAAAAGATTCTGATATATGGAAATATAACGCCTAGCATACGTATAGCTTCACTTGGGAAACAAGAGAGTATGAAAAATATTCAAAACCATACATATCTTAGCATAACCACATATTTCTCTAAAAAAGATTAACGAAGTTAATTAGTTGGGTGTCTTCACAATACTAATACATAGCCAACTACTGCAAGGCCTGTATAAAAGCACTTTCACATGTCTTTAAGTATACAGTTTATCATAGTACAAACTTCAACGCAACATTTAATTCTAATAGCCTAACTTCAAATTACAATAGACAACTACGGCAAGCTAATGAGCAAGAGCCTGAATGTGTGGGCAAACCATATCAGGCTGTCCTTTAATCCAAAGATTCTTAAGTTCACCCCTTTTCCAACCCAATGATAAAAAGGTGCCTACACAAGTTTGAACAAAGCACTAAATAGTAAAAGTGAAAAAAAATTATTCTATTTACCTACCAAGAAATTTTGGGTTAAATTATCCTAATAAAAAATTGAGCATGATTGATTTTTAAACTGTTGAATTTGTTTTTGAAATTAGTGCAATATAAATTGTTGATTAACTATATAGTACATTCGTCTCAAAGCAAATTCAATTGTTAGAATATCCTGAACCAAAAAATGTACAACTTAATATATGGAGAAAATTTTGGTATGAATATCCCCATTAAAATATGATGAAGATGAATTTTAAAATCGTTGAATTTTGAGATTATGGCAATACAAAAGAGTATTGATTAATCATATATTGCAATATTATCAAAGTATCAAATGGTGAGAATGTTGAACCAAATTTTCCTTATCATATTCCTACAGGATATAAATGACAAACGAGTCATAATTCAAATAGATTTGATTGCTATACGTTCTTATATTCCGTTTGAATATGCTCATTCAGTTGCGCAACTTACCAAGCGTAAAGGGCACAATATAGAGAAGAGCCGGTTGACCGTGCCCATCCATCAAGTTTAAAGCTACATAGGTAATCAGAAGACCTGTAGGGTAAAATTGTGCAGGAGGAATCATAATGGGTTATAGGTAAGTGTTTTAAACAAATAGGGAATTATTAACCTAACATGTCAACGAAGATTATTGATCAATTTTCTGCAGTAAATCATTGACAGGAAGAGTGGCATTCTCATGCAGAGCATAAGCATAACATAATCTTAAATGCTTCATTATAAATCCAAAAAGTTGAAGAATATTAGTTTGAAACCTTCAAAGTGAAACTTTTCCTAATATTTCCTCGAATTTCAAAATGCAGGGTTAGTTTCATGCGCACACTAGAAAATTGAAGCTGTTATACAATTCTCCTTGAACTATAGTTTAAGAGTGGAATTATTGTAACATTGAGCTATTAGAAATAGATCTATAAAAGATAGCAATATTTTAAAGACAGTGGTAACATTCGATGGATCACAGGTATAAACGCCAAGGAATGGAATAAGCACAATTAGAAATTAGGAGTATAATTTATCTAGTAAAGTTACCTTTGATTGTCAACAAAAATATCTATCATCCAGTTAGTATGCAAGTAAGTTTAGGGTTTAGGGTTTAAGGTTTAGGATTTAGGGTTTCAGCTAATATTAATCTAAAATAATATCTCATATCCACACAAACAAAATCAAGGCACGCTTAATTTCACCATTCTCCTCATCAACAGCTAAAGAGGGTTTAAGAACCTGCTATCTAAAAATCAAATCCTCAACATAGTGCATGCGAAGGTAGTCAGATACACGAGTGACTTGTGTGAAAGCATGTCAAACTATCAAGAATGCCAATCAAATGCCCATTACTAGATACTGAAGAAAAGAACAGATGAATGATTGACTGATAACCATATAATATTGTTGATTATGTCTGAAAAGTCCATGAATTTCTTTTTAACCATCTATGATTTGTGGCCATCTAGTTGTTTTAGGGCATCAAATTAAGGCAACAATCTTCAAATCTAATAAAATATCAATGCTCACATGAAAGACCACAAAAAGAGCACATATTTATCACAAGGATGCACATCTGTGTGTATTTCTAGATCTGCTGTTGTTTGAACATATATTCTAAATTGAAGTCATCAGCTAATTCTCTTTTAACCATAACTACTGAAAGATCTATGATCTGGTGGTTGGAGAAAACCGTTTCTTCAAGGTCACGTATTTGAGCAAGAAGCTTTGATATTTCTCGCTCTATTTACTTTTAACCCAAAGACTTGGGTACTAGCAGTGATCATGTTAACTATTCTAGTATTGACTATTCACACTCTCATTTGTATTTCCATCTCTAAGAACATTTCAGTAAAAAGAATACCCACTGCAAAATGCTGGTTAATCCGATGAGCTGAGTAATGCAATGTTTCCAAAATCAAACAACATTAAAAAATGCTTACCAGAACCATAAGCTACCATTGACCATAGGAAGTAACCAGCCTTGAGATTTTTTTTTGTGGCCCAGTCATATCTGAAATAGCAAACACTAAGATAAGTCATACAATAGAAGCTAGCTGCATCGATCAATATTACCAAAAAAAAAACCTCAACAAAATATATCCAAAAGATTAACTCCCAAAAAATATCAACAGCTATATACAAGAATGGCAAACAATGGAGAAAAAAAACAAGAAATAATATCTTCCATACACAATCAATATATAAATCACAGATGTGCATCGGTCAGATTGACTTTAATTTTTTTTCTCAGTCGTGTATTCTTTAATAAATTGGTCTATTTAACTGCTTAATGATGTTAGACACAAGAAAATCTTTGGCTTCAACAAAATTTATATTTTCATGTGGATTACCCACAAAAAATTGACCATAATGCCAGTGCTATGCATATTAGAAAGGGCAGAGAGCACAATAGCTAATTAACATGAATTAAGTTAATTTCATTTTTCTACTAGAACAACATTGAAGCTAATATAGTTCTTGTGGGCTCCGAAAATTCGCGCCTCGGCCTCTCCGTGGCCCCTTCTCTTTCTTCCTTTCATTTTTCAGGTTGTCGAGGAGAGTTTTAATTAGTAATTTCCGAGGAAAATTTTCAGAAGGCAGATTGGATTTTAAATAAGACACTACCCAAAAATTTCGACCTCATTTTGCGAGGACTTTATGATCTGAGTTCTGGTTTCCTATAGGCGCAAGCCCCTATAGTTAATTACCCCTCCCGGTAATGAGAGAGAACTTTCGATTAAGGCTAGTCATCAAACGAATACGTAGTATCCGGCGTATAGTAGCAGCAAGGCTTACGGGGTCAATCTTCATATCATACTTTCTTCTGAGTACTGGTTTCTTATAGGCACAAGCCTCCTGACATTCTCTGTCCCATTTAAAACGGACATCTTTCTTCATCTTTGAAAATGGCTGGCACCTAACCGACATATTCGATATGAATTGCCGAATGAAAGCTAATTATCCTTGCAATGAGTGAAGCTATTGAAGGTTCTTGGATGATGACATCTCCACAATCGCCTTGATTTTATTGGGGCTGTCTCGATTCCTCGGAGACGAACGACATACCTCAGAAATTTTCCTGATGAGACCCCGAAAGCGTATTTGAGAGGGTTCATCTTCAAATCATACTTTCTGATTCTCTCAAATATGATCCTTAAGTCACTTAGGTGGTCTTTTCGGCCCATGCTCTTAACAACGAGGTCATCCACATAGTATTTGACCTTTTGGTGAATTAACTCGTCAAAGATGCATGTCATCGCCTGCTGGTAGGTAGCATCAACGTTCTTCAAGCCAAAGGGTATGACAATGTAGTAGAATATGCCGATTGGCGTCCTAAATGACATATGCTTTTCATTTTAAGGCGCCATCCTAATCTGATTGTAACCCGACGATCCGTCCATAAATGAGAGCATGTCATACTTAGACGTGTTATCACCTAGGAGTTCTGATATCGAGAGCGAAAAGTCATCTTTGGGATACGCCTTGTTGAGGTCCCTGAAGTCGATACAGGCGCGGATTTGACCGTTCTTCTTCTTGACGAGAACAATGTTGGGTATCCAATCAGCATATTTTTCTTCTCGAATGAAGCTCGTATCTATAAGCTTCTTTGTTTCTGCAATCACCTGTTCTTCAATCTCCAATCTCATTCTCCTTAAAGCTTGTTTGACGAGAGTTGCATTTGGTTTAATAGCCAGTCTATGAACTACTACATTAAGGGATGAGCCAGGCATTTTAGCATATGTCCAGGCAAAACAATCCCTGAATTCACAGATGAGCTCTTTCAATTCTTCAGCTTGCTTTTCAGAAAGAATAGTGCTTATGAAGGCAGGGCGAGGCTCTTCTTCAGTCCCTAAGTTGGCTTCTTTCAACTCATCCATAGTAGCCGCCTGTCCACCATCTTCATACCCTTCTGGAGCAGGTTTCGCTCCTACGGGCTGATCATCATAAATATCGACTTCATATATATTCCTCCTCGTTCCTTTCATCAGGTTCAACTTTCCCACACATGATTGCACAACAAATCCCTTTCGGGAATATTCTGCACAATGAATCAGAGACCTCTTCTTGAAAGGATATCCTTCCTTCATATACGTGAGAATTTCTTCGATACCATATGCTTATATGGAGACGAGCTCACTATTTAGTAGTACCAACATGAGCCCTTTGTTTCTGCAGCATTCTTTGAATGTTTCTGGGACAATAACTAGGCATTCTTGCAGGATTTATCTCTCCATAGTCAATGGGCCTGACACCAGTCACGATTATCTTCTTCGTGTTCTTCGGATTTGTATAGTAGGCTTCCTGGCCCAGTCCCTTTGTTAAGAGGAGGTACATAAAGTGTTTTGAGCTCTTCAACATTATGCACCTCTCGAGAGGAGATTTCTTTGAAGTGTAGTGGGGGAACACGCATGACTACGAATATAATGTGTGGTGAAGAATAGAAAAAACAAGACTTCGTTTCATATTCATTTTAATGACGAGATATGCGGGTGAATCGCGTGTTTCGAATAGAGATCGTGTGAGCTGAACGGCGTCAGCGCCGATTTGCAGGTAAGCGACGTACGTTTTCCAAATTTTTTTAATGAATTAATAATAATAATAATAATATTTTAAATAGTTAAAATGATACATATTGAATTTTTTATCCTCGACTTGATTTGCATGCGACATTGTCTCGGGATACGTGTCGATTTCCTCGCACGATTTTCATTGGGCAGATTTATACTCAATTTTGGGTATTGACGACGTTCCAATGCAACGTCGAAGTCTGTTTTGCGATTGGATTTTATTTGGACAACGTTACACAACAATTTCAGGTGTCAGTCGTTCGTTTTGACCGATCTTGTCCGATTTGACTGAGGGATTCTCTCTTAGGCGAATTAGATGTCCTTATTACAATGGCGCAGTCCGTTTGGTAATCGGAGGTCATTTGGCTCTTCAAGTGATGAGCCGCGCCGATGCGTGTATCACTTAAGTCGTCTCCGATTTTACCTCTTTTTGCCCGTATTTTGATGCAGGGGTCAACAGTTCTATAAACTTTGATGAGTGGGTTACACTTCCAAAGTAAGCATAACAAAGAAAAAGCAGAAAAGGATAATGAAAATTCCAATTTAACATTGAACAGAATCCACATCAACATGAGAAAATATATAATCAAGCCAGAGTAACTTATTATAGAATATAGATAACATTTTAGAGATATGCTAACAATTTTAGAATAACTTATTAACTTAAAATTACCATTCCGAGCGGGGAATACATACAATGTCTACATATATTTGTATACAAGAATGACATGCCCCTCTAGAAGGAATGTATCATCAAGGGCATGCCAAAGTCACAAAAAAATAATTGTTGGCTAAAAAATTTAGGTCATATTGTCTTGATTGACTATTGTGCATGGCTAAGGTTGAAATCTTTTAAGATCAAAATTTCTAAAAGCCAGATGCTCTTAAAAAATCTGTTGCAAAACCTGATCTACCCACAAGGTATCAATAAAAGAAAGAGTGATATGGTAGGATTGGTTTTGAGTAAATAAACATTCATGAACGAAGAATTTCTTTAAATCAATCTCTAAGACTCCATGCCATTCAAATTTTTGGTTAAGATTGATCGAGAATTGTAGGTGTTAACAAATGAACCTTAATGAAAATGCAATCAGCAGCCCAGGGAGAAGGATGTCACCAAAACCAATAATGCTATATCCACCCCATGGATCAAACATGCGAGGTATCTTAAGCAGCATAGGAACTCCATCTTCGCCACTCCTATCACCACGTGCAACCTATGGAGAATAATAGAAACGAGCTTGGTTACTTTGACAACCATAATAATAATTCAAAAACCACATACAATAAGACACTTACCACAATCATTACACTCTCATGGAAGAACCAGTCCGAAGCAAAAACCCAAAAGATGTCATATAGGAAGGCACAACTAAGAAGAACAGTACCAACCTGATCACATTAAAAAAATTAGAGCATATGTACTGGAGCAAATCATAGAAAATGAAAACTAATGTCGGTTTGTAAAGATGCTATAGTAATCATATATTTAGTTTGATGCAAATATAATTACTTTCTGTTGATCTGTGGAATGGATTCTATTTCATTTGAAAATAAGTACTTCTTTATGCATGATATTAGAGGTTTAAGCAAACTAGTACACGCAAAATAGTTTATGTTCATTTATTTACATGACTGAACAAATTTAGACAAAACTTTAATAGCTCAGCATAAAAGGAAAGAAGCTTAATGTTGATCCAGTAAAAATTAGTTCATTTATGATCATGAACCCGCTTGTTTATTGCTTAAAGCAACAAAATATTTATTTTAGCTGCTTATTTAACTTTATATTTTTGTATCAATTTTCACCTATTCTATGCAATTTAAACATCAAATTGATTATAATAATGTATGTATGATCAATTATATTGGGCGTGAAACAAGATGTTTTGATTAAATTCTAATCTTATGTATTATTAGTTTTTAAACTTCAAGAAACACTAAAAAAAATACCGAGTGAACTGGTATAAATATGGATGAATAATTAAGTGTTTATGTTGAAGAACAAGATTATATGCTTAAATTACTATCATGTTTATGTAATTAGAAAAGGCTCGATTAAAGCTTGATTGAAACAGGAACTTATTTTTTTTTTAAATTAAATAAGCTTGAACCAAACTTTAAAACTTGGGTCAACACACGATTATCTGAGAGGTAGTCTTTTCTTTTTAATTTAAAATAGCTTCTAATTCTACTAATGTTTTCTTACTTATTAAGGGTAGTTTGATAATTACGAGCCCTGGAATTATTAGATTGTTGCCTATAATGGTTATATTGCAGGGTAGGGAGTCGGGTGGGGTGGGGGTCCTTTTTGAGAGTTTAATTTCAAGTTATATCCTAAGAGTTTTAGGGAGGATTCCCTAGTCTAGGACATGTGAGATGGAGAACGAGCCATAGTGGAGTGCAAGACTTTGTCAATATTGGTTTGCTGAGATCCCCTTGCTTCATTATTGGGTCTGAGCTCTACCAAACATTTTTTTTCTAAGATTTGAGAAATGTCAATCAGTATTTTATTGTTCTAAAGGTAGAAATCATCAAGAAACATATTCCTTCTGTTGACATATAGTTGGCCAAGGTGCTATGGTTGCTATCTTGACAACAACTAGTGGAATCATTCCCAATAAACTAGGAGCTTGTCCTGAAGATTCCAACTAAAATCCTTTCTTAAAATTTCAGCATATTGCCTTGGATTTGATTGAATCTAGAAATACTACTATTGAATATCTATTTTTCTATTCCCATTTTAATCTTAAATTAACTACTATTTAAGCATTGAATATCTATTTTTCTACTCCCATTTTAATCTTAAGAATTTATTAAATTTAATGAAGTTAGAGTTGCCCAAACGGTTAACTTCTTGGCCTGGTTTTATGATAGCTTGAAATGCTTCAAATTTTAGGGGTGGCATATTATTATGGAATACTCAGTTCATAAAGATTTTAACTGCAACAACAACAACAACATCAAGCCTTTATCCCACTACGTGGGGTCGGCTACATGAATCCTTTTTCTCCATTGTGTCCTATTAAAAGCCAAATTCTCGTTTAAATCTAATAAAGAAAGGTCATTCCTAATATTTTCTAACCAAGTCTTTTTAGGTCTACCCCTACCTTTCTTAACACAAGTCAAATCTAATACCTCTACTCTCTTAACTGGGTCGTCGGAAGGCCGCCTTTTTATGTGACCAAACCATCTAAGGCGACTCTCTCTAATCTTATCTTCTACTGGAGCTACTCCAACCTTTTCACGTATATGCTCATTTCGTATCCTATCTCTAAGGGTAAAGCCACTCATCCATCTAAGCATCCTCATCTCTGCCACACTTAACTTAGTATTATGCTTCTCTTTTAATGGCCAACATTCGGCACCATAAAGCATTGCAGGCCTCACTACCATCTTATAGAATTTTCCCTTAAGTTTGAGGGGTACATTTCTATCACATAACAAGCCCGATGCATTCCGCCACTTCAACCATCCAACTTGAATTCTGCTGATAATATCCCCATCTATTTCACCATCACTCTGAACAATAGATCCAAGATACCTAAAACGTGTACTCTTATTAATGACTTGATCGCCCAAAGTCACAATCCCCTCACTAGGACTATTACTGCTAAAATTACACTCCATATATTCCGTTTTAGATCTACTCAAGCGAAAACCTTTAGACTCTAAGGTTGACCTCCATAATTCAAGTTTACCTTCAACTCCCTCTCTAGTCTTATCAACAAGAAGAATATCATCAGCAAAAAGCATACACCAAGGTACATCATCTTGCAAATGTCTAGTGAGAACATCCATGACTAAAGCAAATAGATATGGGCTTAAGGCTGATCCTTGATGTAACCCAACCGAAATAGGGAAATACTTGGTCAATCCACCTTGTGTTTGAACACAAGTAATAGCTCCTGCATACATATCTTTAATGATTTGAATATAAGCATTATTGACTCCTTTCTTTTCAAGAACTCTCCATAGCACTTCTCTTGGAACTTTATCATATGCTTTTTCTAAATCAATAAATATCATATGTAGATCCTCCTTATTTCCTCTATATTTTTCCATCAAACCTCTGAATAAATGTATGGCTTCCATAGTCGACCTACCCGGCATGAATCCAAATTGATTTTGAGAAACATTAGTGTCATGCCGCAACCTATGCTCCATAACTCGCTCCCATAGTTTTAAAGTATGACACATTAACTTAATACCTCTATAATTCGTGCAATCCTGTGCATCGCCTTTATTCTTAAAAATAGGAATTAATACACTCATTCTCCACTCATCTGGCATCTTTTTAGTCTTCAAAATAGTATTAAAAAGTTTAGTAAGCCAAGAAATCCCTTCATCTCCTAAGCATTTCCACACCTCTATTGGAATATCATCAGGTCCAACAGCTTTTCCACCCTTCATTCTATTTAAAGCCTCTCTAACTTCAGTTTTACTAATACGCCGATAAAAACAGAAATCTTTACTTTCATTTATGGTGCTAAGGTCACTATAGTCAATCTTATTTTCACACTCTTCATTAAAAAGTTTAGCAAAATATCTCATCCAACTTTGTTGAATATCATCTTCTAAGAAAAGTATTTTTTGATCTTCATCCTTAATACACTTCACTTGAACTAAATCCTTACTACTCCTATCTCTTTGTTTGGCTAACTTATACATATATCTTTCTCCCTCCTTAGTATTTAATCTATTATATAAATCGCTAAAAGCTAATGTCTTTGCATCGCATATTGCTTTCTTAGAATCCTTACGAGCCACTTTATATAATTCCCAATTATCAGAATTTTTAAGATTTTAACTGCATTGAACGTTAATTATTAAATATCACAGGCAAATTAACAGAAATCAAAATCTCAAATTTAAACTTTCAAGATGATTCACTTCAAGTAAAAGGACTTCTACAAACAAGAATGACCTGGTCCTATAACTCTAAAGGCGAGTACACTGCAATTAATACGGTAGAAAAGCATGTCATTACGTTAAAATAGCAATTGCATAATAAAAAAAGTGAGCAGAGATAAGTCCTAGACTTGCATACATGCTTTTTTGTATCTATAGTCACAGGATCTGAAGAAATAAAAGTCAAATAGAAACTGACCTTGAGATTAGGTACTCGCACCACTTGAATAACAGTAAGTATCAAACTGATACCCTGATTCATTAAATGAATTAAATGACAGAAATAATTAGATCCAATAAAAGACTAAAATTTAAGAAAATAAATCAACGTTTTAAACAAGAATTTAATAAGTCAACCCCAAATAGATTGGATATAGAAAAGAATTATTTTTATAGATAAGAATATGGTCTTACAAGAATATCCTGGCCAATCCATGCATATGATCTTTGGCGATAAACAGCCCAAACTGCTGCAAAAGTTACGCAAAAAGGAGTAATCGCCAGTGTAAGATATGAAACTGCTCCAAATAAAGGAACTTTAACAAATGACTCTCCTGCTTGCTTAAACCATCTGGAAATTACATATGAAACACTCTGAAATCATTCAAAGTGGTAAAACATGAAAAAGGAAAACAAATAATTACTCATACTTCTACAAGATTCAAGATATTTCTCTCCAAACAAGTTCTAAACACCAAAAACAACATCACAACAACGGGGGCTCATACTGCATACGTTCATAGGAATAAGATCACCTGAAATCTTTCCTACAATAGATGGGGAAAGCGAAGGAGATTTATAAGTAAAAACGACCTTTCTATAATAACATGACAGTCTCCAATTGATTCCCGTAAAAATAATTGGTTCAATAATGTGAAAAGAATCAACTTTTAAAAACATAAAAGGATTGTGGTTGGTAAACCAATTACCTAATTAACAGCATGGTTCAAGCTAAAAGCACGAATAGCATAATTAGCCTTTTCCTAGTTATTGTGACTTATACCCTTCATTCTTGTTGAATTTAGAATGTAATCTTAACTATAGTTCAAGCAATTATGTTAGCCAATTTTGAAACATGCTATATTTGATCAAACTCTTTTCATTCATGTTCCCTTATATTTGGTCTTATTTCTTATTGCTGCATCTTTCCTTACCAGTTGTACATGCCTATAGCATCCAACCATAATATGTTTCACCAAACACACTCAAATACACAATCGTTTATGCTGTCCTTTCTAATTTTACTATATATCATATTTCCATTCGCATATCTTGTACATTTAATAGTTGCCAATAGCTATCTTGGAACCTAGATACATATGTGAAGGGTATTCTTATACCAGAAATTCATGTATGATATTTGCTTATCATATCCCCGAGACACTAATCATTTTAAGCTACCACATATAACTTCACAAGTCATATCCTCAGCTACATGAATATTCTTAAATAATGATAAATCCAATCATATCGCCAAGGTATTACTTAGATCCTTATAGATTGATACTAGTTTCATAACTATTAAAATTGCTCACTACCTGAAGGAGACTAAAAACCACTAAAATCATCATAGGTGTCCCTCAAAATATATTATCTTAGCTAATAAATCTCACATGCAAGCAAAACATATAGTTATCTTAACAGTTCTAAATAGACAATGGACAATGCTATAATAGAAAGCGCAATAGGAGAAGTGGGTCAAAATGAAAGAAAAACTAACCTGGATAATAATGCAACTAGGCATGTTTGTAAGCCCTGAAAAAAAAAAAAAGACAAAAATTAGTAAAAAAAGGTATATTAGAATTAACTCAAACCGTATTAATAAAACTGCACTTTTGGATGTTCCAATCAACTTCAGCAGATATCTTCATTGCTATCCATTTCTTCCAAATTCATGAATATTAAAATGAAAAATCCACAACATGAAGAACAAATAGAATTAGAGATAAGTGATCCCGTAATTGTGAGTAAAGCACTTATATAACTAGTAAAGGTCAAGGTGCAAACTTTTATACTTTTTTAAGAGAATTAGTGGTTTTGCAAGAAATTAAGAAAATAAGATTAGAATTTGGGACTGGAGAGTATCCTCATGGAGAAACCTTCGCGAGTGCATACAAAATTAGGGCTTGTTGAAGAAACCAAGAATGAAGGCTTCTATATTAAGCATAATTAAAAGTACCCAAGAAACGGTAAAGATGACATAATAAAGATCAAAGTAAGATTAATTCCATGCAATTGAGATCCCAAAACCTATATTAGGGTTTCACCATGCAACGTTTTTTTTTTTATTTTTAGCTTCACTTGAGTAGTAGAGAAAGAAGCAAAAATATACTTGCAAACCCAATCGAAAGAGAGAAAGGGAGCCAACATTGTCTTGGGATTTTTGCAAATCGATGTGACAATAGTCATATGGTGTCACAGGATGCATGCCCAAGTGCAACTACAGAAAAAAAGATATATAGTGATCAAGTATGAGTAATCCTGAGAGAGTGTGAGATAATCATGGAATATCAGAAGAGAGAAGATTAACTGAAGGAAAGAGAAAAAAATTATTATGGCCATTAAGCTTGCAATTACATCCTATAGCATCATATTCATAAACAGAACTCTTGTCATCTAATAACAAATCAAATTCAAATGAAGATAAACAAATTAAAATTATCCTATTCTAACTCCTAAATCCAATGCACCTTAATAGGAAATACTTGAGATCTACAACTGTTTCCTATCAAATTGGTATCAGAGCAATTTCCTGTGCTGAAATAGAAGTCTTCCTCGCTGATTACGACTGCGTTCTCCTCTTCGATCCTGCTGTTTTTGCTGTTTGGGAGGCCAGATTCATGTCAAACTTGTTGATCTTTGCTATTGGAGCATACATCTTGGTTCCCATGGCTGGAAGAAAGGTGAAAGTATTGGAAGGGGAGATCATACAAATGAAATCTAAAATTTTAGATCTCCAAACTCAAGTTTCAGATATAAAAAAGGATATTTCAGCCATCCATGATAAATTCGATTCGAAATTTTCCATCTTGGAGGAGAAGCTGAAGAAAGTGCTCGAAGGCCAAACCAAAATATCGCCGTCGGGGTGAGGGAAGGTGCCGACATCCAGGGAAGTGGGGAAAACCCTAAGCCAACCAGACGAAGGGAAGCTCAGGAGGTGGAAATGTTGGGGGAAGAAGAGGGGATGTCACTTTTGGAGCCACTTCCAAGGAGAGGAAATGGTGAAGGAGTGGGACTTTTAGTGGAGCTACAGAATTTGGAAGGAGAAAAAGATGGGGTGAAGATAGAAGCATCAGACATGATTCTACCACCCTTACAACAGTATCGAGGGGTGTTCCAGCAATTTCAAGGTCGAATCCTTCGCAGGAACGTGAGTATGTCATCATCTTGAAGGAAGGAGTCCAACCTATCAATATTTGTCTATACCGTTATCCCCAAATCCAAAATGAAGAGATTGAGAGATTAACAAGGAGATACTCGAGATAGGGATCGTTCGACCTAGTGTCAGTTCAATTTCCAGTCCAGTGGTATTAGTCAAGTGCTTCAGCAGTAGATTCTTTCGTTTGACCTTGAGAACAAGGTGGCACTTTGGGAGGGGAGTATTGTTAGACCGGTCCAACCGGTCCATAAAGGACCGGCTTACAAAAAAAAAAAAGCGGAGGAGTCCACCTCCTGTATGCATCGTTCAAGCCGTGAAATCTAGAAAAACTTATTTGGAAGGATTTTTGAGAAAGTTTAGGAGGGAAATTGAATGTAGGGATTGTTTAGAGATTTCCTTTTGAATTGTATTCATTAATTAGTTTGTTTTCCTAGGGTTAGGGCATCTTGAATTTGGCTGAAATTTAAGATCTCTTGGGTTTAGGTTTTGGGCTCTAGCGGCGTCTAGAGATTTGGGAGAGATAGATCCTCCTCTCGAATAGAGGATCAATTGTATCTTGGTATTTTCCGTTTCCCTTTTATCAAATAATACAAATGTTTTGTGTGAATTTTTGTGGAGAATTCTCGTTGTTTTCCTAAAATTGATAGGAAATACTTGAGATCTACAAGTGTTTCCTATCAGTTCTGTTAAGAGTTAATTTCTCATTTAAATCTAATAAAGAAAGGTTATTTCTAATATTTTCTAACCAAATCTTTTTAAGTCTACCTCTACCTTTCTTAACATAAGTCAAATATAATACATCTACATTCCTAATAGACCGCTGCTGTTTTATGTGACCGAATCATCTAAGGCGACTCTCTCTAATCTTATCTTCCACTGGAGCTACTCCAACCTTTTCACATATATGCTCATTCGTATCATGTTTCTAACCGTAAATCCAATCATCCACCTAAGCATCCTCATCTCTACAACACTTAACTTAATATTATGCTTCTCTTTTAATGACCAACATTCTGCACCATAAAGCATTACATGTCTAACCACCATCATATAGAATTTTCCCCTAAGTTTGAGGTGGACTTTTCTATCATACAACAAGCCCGATGCATTCCTCCACTTCAACCATCCAACTTGAATTCTAATAATAATATCCCCATCTATTCCAACACTATCATTATCAAGTCCCAAGTCTTGGATGAAAAATGTGGAGGGTTGCATTAGGTAGTCAATAGTCGGCGTAAAACTTGTTGAATAATCATGACATAAATTTAAAATAACCCATAAGAAACAACTTTGGGGTTGATGGTTGGGAATTTTGACTTGAACTTTGATGTCATCTTAATGCTAGAGACATGTTTTCATATTGTGAAAAATTCTGGTCGGAAGGTTATAAGAATTTATACAACTTTGAATAATCACTCCTCCTTAATAAACTCAAAGCCTGATTGGACTAACATAGGAGGTCTATCCTAATTAGGGTCGGCAAGGCAAACCCTAATTTGAGTTGACATTAGGTCTAACCCTAATTTGGTGACATACTGATTGACATCATTTTGAAAGTAAAAAATTAAAAAAAAAACATTATTTTGAAAGTAATCTTCCCCTAATAAATTTTATTTTTTGTAGTTATTTCTACTCAACAGCGAGCATAAAATTTGTCGAATAATCATGACATGAATCAATCATGACATGAATCATTTAATATATTGTGTTAGTCAAGGACGTTCCCTGGAAGCGATGCACTATAAGGTCTGATTACATCGAGAATTGTGCAAGGGCTGCTGCACCGGTGCTCGAGTATAGTATTAAATAGGTAAGGGTTCCACATCATGGACAGATGTGGGCAAAGAAACTAGTCCATAAAATTAAAATTATGATAGAAACTTTGAATATAAGTTCCCTTACAAGCAAATTAATAGAATTAATAGTTATTATGATTCATAGGATGATAAATATTCTAAACATTCAGGAAACTAAATGGGTTTGAGAGAAGGCTAAGAAGATTGATGGTTTAGGTTTTAAACTATGATTTTTCATGTAGGAGTTGTACTAAAAATGGTATAGGTGTGATTTTAAATAAGAGTGAGAAGGATAATTTTTTAAAAATTAGTAGAATTGGAGATAGAATTATAACTTTAAAGATTGTTGTTGATACTAAAATTATTAATATTAAAAGTGCTCATGCTCCTCAAGTAGGTTTGGATATGTATTCAAAATTAAAATTTTGAAATGACTTGAAGAATATACAAAAGATGCTTCTTGAAAAAAGAATTTTTTATTGGTGGAGATTTAAATGGACATGTTGGTAGAGATGTAGATGATTTTAAAAGCATTTATGATTGCTATGGATTCAGAATGACTAATGAATGTGGTAAGACCATATTAGATTTTACTCTACCTTATGATTTTGTAATTGTTAATACCTTATTTTAGAAAAAACATGAGCATTTTATTACTTATAAGAATAGATATAGTAAAACTCATATTGATATTTTTTTATAAGAAAAATAGATCGTTTAAATTGCAAATATTATAAAGTTATTCTAAGCAAAATTTTATATACCCAACATTGCTTATTAATTTTGGACTTTAAGATGAATGTGCAAAATATGAAAAATAAAGTAAAACATTATTATGGGATTAGATAGGGATATCTAAAGAATACTAATAAAAATATTTTTGAGAATAAAATTCAAGATCTAAGATATTGTTTATGCATGAGGAAGCTAATGTTATGTAAGAAAAAGTAACTAGTGATATTAAGAATGTCACAAAAGATAGGTATGGAGTATCAAAAGGAAAAGCTCTCAATAGTAAAAATAGTTGGTGGTTGGATCAAAATATGAAGAAAAAAAATCAAAAATAAAGAAGCTTGGATATAAAAATTAGTTTAGATGTAAAATCTCTTAATATTGGGAAAGATAAAAAAAGGCCCGTAAGGAGTCTAAAAAGTAATATGCGATACAAAGATTTTAGCTTTTAATGATTTATAATAGATTTGATACTAAGAAGGACGGAATATATATGTATAAGTTAGCCAAGCAAAGGGATAGAAGAAGGATTTAATTCAAGTGAAATGCATTAAGGATGAAGATCAAAACGTGTTTTTATTAGAATAGGATATTCAACAAAGGTAGATAAGATATTTTGATAAGTTTTCCAATGAAGATTGTGAGAATATGATTGCCTTTAGTGACTTTAGTAACTATGGGCTCCGAAAATTTGTGCCCCGGCCTCCTCGCTTTTATAAGAGTTTTAACGAATTAAGTTACGAGGTAAATTTTCAGAAGGCAAATTGAATTGTGAATAAGACACTACCCAGTGATTTCACCCTCATTTTACGAGGACTTTATGATTTGAGTTCGGGTTTCCTATA